ATTATAATGTATAATTTTTATAGTTTTAAAATATTAATTTATTAATAATACTATTTTAAGTCAACTCAAGTCAAGTCAAGTTTGAGTCGAGTTTAAATTGAGTTGAGTTAAATATTTAACTTGATTCGAATTTGATTTGACTCACAAATCATCGAGTCAAAAAAATATAAACTCAACTTGATTTAAACTCAATTCAGCTTATCTGACTTGTAAGTTAACTCGACTCGTCCAGAACTCTATTAGGAGATAACCAAATACATATAAGATGCTTCTTATAAAAGTTTCTAAGTCTACTACACAGTAGGGTATAGTTATAAGGATTACTCCTTCCCTGTAGCATAACGCTCCCTTTTTTCAATCATATCAGATTTGTGCGTCTAGATTCATCTGTCCTTGCAGGTGAAAAAAAAGGACAATTTGGTAATGTTGGCTATCACTATATTCAAAGGCTAAGCTTAATTTTTTATTATAACCATCTAGATGTAATCTCTCTAAGAATTTAGGCTTTTAGAGTGGAAATTTTTTATATAATAAATTCTCAAATATATACCAGCATGTTCTTTTCAGTACATTAGGACAAATGGTGTACCATTTATAATTCTGTTTCATATTTTTATATAGCGCCTCCTATTGATGACCCTTTTTACATGATCATAAATATGTATTAAGACTAACTTTACCTAAGCATCTTCCTTCATGTCTCTAAGTATATGCTAAAGCTTTAATGTCAATTTCGTCTTGCATTTATGTATAATAAAATATTACATATAGAAATTTGTAGTAGTGATCACTAGCTTCAGACTAATTTGATCAGAAGAATCAATCTGAATATATGCAAATCTAGGAAAGTAAAATTAAACTTGATTACTACTATTGCATAAGTAAAAAATAAGCATTATCAGTATTCTTAGCGAGAAGTGGCAATTTTGGCTAAAGGTACTTAACAATACAGCTTAACAATTTTGTCTATATATTCGCTCTTTTTATGTATTATTGATATTATAAAGTAGATCAATATCTTTTAACAATTTTTTCATCTGTTTATAAAGATTTTGCCATTGTATATGAAATTTATTTCGTAAAATAGAAGACTTAATAAAACAGGAGAAAATTCTTATAAGATTATTTATATGGGATTTGATTATTATATAAACATTTACAATTTCTTCTTCTGTTGTAATCCAATCATAATACGGAGTATAAAAAACTATATGAATACAGGTTATTTCTTGTTTACTCTAGTCTAACTGATATTTTATAAAATTAAGATCTTTATGAAGTTTTCTTTCTTTTTGCTTTAAATAACTCGAAATGCTTCAAAATTCCATTGATGATTCATAGTAAGACAGGAATATAGTATATCTTTAATCTTGAGATTATTAAAAATTAATTCAAGCAGTTTGAAACAAACAAGTGAGCAAGGCCTAGCATTTTTTTGCGCAAGTAGCATAATACAATGTATAGAAATATTAAATATAAAATTACATATAAATTTCCTAAATCTTTAAAATAAAAATTTTGAACGAATACGTTTGCTAACAAAAGACTGGATCAGTGATAATACCCAAAAGTAAACGATGAGGTAATATCTAAAAGTATTCAATGCAATAATAATCCAAAGTAATCAGAGATACCCTAAAATATTAACCATACAAGAAAGAAATTTAGAAAGACTCAAGCGAAAATTAGGATATAAATTTAATACAGCTCGAGATTCCTAATCATGGCAAATTTAGTATCCACTTTTTAAAATGTATCTACACTCTCTGAAAAATAAAGTTATTTCTAAAGTACCATAATACTTTAATGTGTTTTATTTCTAGCTTTCAAATTACAATGAGATTTTTTAAATACGATCACCCTTAAAAAGCTATTATCAAATCTTCAGATGAAAAATTTCCTTAATTGTATATAGTAGATTTTCAAAATTTGGCACTAATAATATTTTCGCATCTATTGTTTAAATGAGCTGGAAAATCATTTTTCTGAACTTAATTTTTTTTTAGAATTTTGTTATGCCATCACTTTCAAAATGCGAAAAACAAATAAAAAGTTTAACTAAAGATAAACAAAAAAAAATCAAAACTTTACTGTGCCTTTAGAAAATTCAGATATTGATGATAATTTGGAGTGGGAAAATGAAGAAGAAATCATATGGGAAGACGATGAGTTGGATGAAAAGGCTGAAACTTTTGTTAAAGTTTTATTAAATAGAATGAAAAACTATGTGCCTTCTTTCCAATAAGCTGTATCTAAAAGCATATGTGGGAGGAAATATACGATCTCAAAGCTATATGGATATAAAATTATATTACAAATCATGTGATTTATAATTTAATCTTAATGGTAACTGATCCATATATTCAAAAGTATATTTCTATAACTTAGGAAATTGAACACACTTGTTCTTCACATTCTAGCATTAATTTTTCACAAATTGAGATAAATCTTTGAAAGAAGGCATTTTGAAAGTTTGAATAAAAGGGAAAATAGAAGATAAACAAATTGGTTTGTGTAAAAAAAAAGGTTTAAAAAGTAATATGTGTTTTTTTGCTTTTTTAAAAAAAATTATTACTTTTATTTTAATTATTGTTACGCTAATCAGCATTAAATCTGTAAATGTATGCATATAATAATATGATTGATTGATTTTTGATTATTCTAAAATAGAATTTCAATTAAAAAAATATAAATAATAATAATCATTCAATAGTTTTCTTCTAAAAGTTTTAGAATTCCAAAAGATAATTTCTATAAAAAAAAAAGAAAGAAACATTAGTAATGTTTTACTAAAAAAATTTAAATTGAGTTTAAAAAAAAATAACAGAGCGGAGTTCAAAAATTAAGGCGGAGTTTAAAAAATATAATAGGCCAAAGTTTGAAAATTAAAAGAGAGTTTAAAAAAAATATATAACAGAGCGGAATGCAAAAATTTAAGGTGAAGTTTTTAAAAAAATATAACAGGTAGAGTTTGAAAAATTAAAAAAAAATATAACAGGAGCGGAGTGCAAAATTTAAGGCAGAGTTTTTTAAAAAAATATAACAGGGCGGAGTTTGAAAAATTAAAAAAATATAACGAGCGGAGTGCAAAAATTTAAGGCAGAGTTTGAAAAATACAACGGGGTGGAGTTTGAAAAATTAAAAGAGAGTTTAAAAAAAAATATAATAAAGCAGAGTGCAAAAATTTAAAGCAGAGTTTAAAAAATATAATGGGCGGAGTTTAAAAAATTAAAAAAAATATAATGGAGCGGAGTGCAAAAATTTAAGATAAAGTTTTTAAAAAAAATATAACAGGGCGAAGTTTGAAAAATTAAAAGAGAGTTTAAAAAAAATATAACAGAGCGGAGTGCAAAAATTTAAGGCAGAGTTTAAAAAATATAATGGGTGGAGTTTGAAAAATTAAAAAAAATATAACAGAGTGGAGTGCAAAAATTTAAGACAGAGTTTTTTAAAAAAATATAATGGGACGGAGTTTAAAAAATTAAAAGAGAGTTTAAAAAAATATATAACAGAGCAGAGTGCAAAAATTTAAGGCGGAATTTGAAAATTTAAATGGAGTTTTAAAAATTTAAAGTGAAGTTTAAAATTTTTTTTTTTAAAAAAAATTTTAAAAAAAAAATATTTAATTAAAAAATTATTTTATTAGGACTTACCACCACCTAAAGGTTCCAAGATTAGAGATTCCAGATCGGTCTATAAAGTAAATTAATATTAGTATCTTTTTTAAAATAAAAAAATCTAATTAAATTATTACATTAGGATTTACCTCTATCCAAAGGTTCTAAGGTTAAAGGTTCTGGATCAGTTTACAAGGTAAGTTAATATTAGTATTTTTTTAAAAATAAAAAAAAATTTGATTAAAATTATTGTATTAGGACTTACCTACAATCCAAAGATTTTAAGGTTAGAGGTTCTGGATTAGTCTACAAGGTAAGTTAATGTTAGTATTTTTTTTAAAAAATAAAAAAAAATCTAATTAAATTATTGCATTAGGATTTACCTTTACCTAAAGGTTCTAAAGTTAGAGATTTCAGATTAGTTTACAAGGTAAATTAATGTTAGTGTCTTTTTTAAAATAAAAAAAAAATCTAATTAAATTATTGCATTAGAACTTACCTCTACCCAAAGGTTTCAAGGTTAGAGGTTCTGAATCAGTCTACAAGGTAAGTTAATATTAGTATTTTTTTAAAAAAATAAAAAAAATTTGATTAAATTATTGTGTTAGGACTTACCTACAATCCAAAGATTCTAAGATTAGAGGTTTCAGATCAGTCTATAAGGTAAGTTAATGTTAGTATTTTTTTTAAAAAATAAAAAAAATCTAATTAAATTATTGCATTAGGACTTACCTCTAAGGTTAGAAGTTCTAGATCAGTCTACAAGGTAAGTTAATGGTATTTTTTTTTTTTAAAAAAAAAAAATCATTAAATTATTGTGTTAAGACTTATCTCCAATCCAGTTAAAGATTTGGGTTCGATTTTTTTATTTTTCTTTTGCTTTTTCTATAAAAAAAATTGTATGCGAAATGATATAGAAATTTTTAATTTGATGATTAATTATAGTTGCACAATTAATTACAGTTGCATAATTAATTACAGTTGTACGATTAATTATAATTATACTGAAAATCAATTTTCCAATCTTTTTTTTTTCTTTTTTTAACAAAAAAAAACACTTTTATTTATTTAACATAATCTTTAAAAAAACAATCTTATTTTTTAAATACTTAAACTTGTAAGAACTCTTACTAAATATAATTATTTTTATTTTTGTAAATTTTAATTTTT